GTGGCTCTCTGACTTTTCTACATGCCTGAAATAGTTTACAATTTTAAGAAGTATAAATTTGATTGCTTCCTAACCTGAGTAGCTTTGAAAACCTGTTTTGGTAAGAATAACATTAATAGCAATCTGCCAAATGTGATTATTCACATTGCCTGATCCCTCTCCCCTTTTTTCATAACCTGGGACAACAAAGAAGTACATTGTGATATATATGGAGTGTTCCACTGAAGCTCTGAGAGGAATTTGAATAAAACCCATATAAAAGGGAGTTAATGCTGAATGGTCATCCTAACCTGCACCTGCAGAGGCAGCCAACCAGGTGACCCTGCCTGTGTTAAACAAGAATGACAGCCAAGCTAATCTGGATGTAGGAACTCCCAGAAGTGGATCAAAGGGGAGCCTGATAAATGTACTACTCCACAGAGAAATTGGGAATACTTAGTCAGCAAAACATAACGTATATAAGAAATTACGAGAGACCCAGGAGATTAACAGAGGGACTTGCAGAGCTAACACATGGCAATTAAAACACCCCTAGGGAACAGAGAAATGAGGTCTTGCAAGAAAGAGAATGGACAGCCTTGAACAGTGACACTGGGAAGGGAGTTTAGACAGAAAGAACAAGCTACATGGAAGAGAACCCAAACCTGAGTCAGCACACTCGCCACTGTACCCTAAAGTCTGTCTTCTATTCTGCCATCCTACTGAGCCCCAATATATATATATATATATATATATATATATATATATATATATATCTTATACTAATTGGCAATTATTCTTAAGACCAAGTTATTTTATAATTTGTGAGGCTTCTTTATTTCGTTCCTCATCCAAAGAAAACTCAGCAGAGAGCTTAGAAAATGAGAGGTAATGTTGCAATAATCATTGTGCCACAAGGAAAGATGGGACCACATTATCCTCATGTGCACCCAGAGAAATAATAATATCAGCCTCTGTGGTGTCAATGGAGAGACCTGAGGTAAAGGGTTGAATTAATGTGCCCGAGTTCCGCTGTCTCCATGAGTACATAGGGAATGAGGGAGTGATCAACTACATTTTTAGCCCTGTTTGGGCCCAAATGACTTCTAGCTCTTACTGAGGATGTGGGATGATGCTCAAAATCAGATGTAAAAACTCGGGTTTGATATCTTCACCAATTGAATATCATTACATAGCATTCTGAGCCCTTAATCTTGGTTTTCAACTCACTACCATGTTATTTTTTGTCAGGTCCAAAAGAAACTAGAGATAAATGGCTCTCTGTGATGCCTATTAGCATTGCAAAGCACAAGTTGGCCTCCCTGCTCATTCAGTTCCAGTGGCTTCTATCAGTTCTTCTAACCCTGCCCCCTAAACCTCTTCTGCTCAAGGGATTCCCCTCCCCAGCTTCTCCTTCCTATCTAACCCTGCCTTGTCATCCATGAGCCCCTCTTGACCTCTTCTTTTTTTTCTCCCCTCTCCCTTTCCTTCCCTTTCCTTCTCTTTCCTTCCCTTCCCTTCCCTTCCCTTCCCTTCCCTTCCCTTCCCTTCCTCTCTCATTCTACTTTTCCATTCTCCTCTTCTCTCAAAGCTCAGTTCAGTCTACTACTTCCTGTTCCTGCTCTGGACTCTTCCAGGTGTCTCTCACTGTTCACCCCTCATGCCTACAGTAAGAGCCTTCCCTTCAGCTATACCTTGAAGCAGCCATGTCCTCACTTTATATAATTTTGTGAAAAGCTCTGCTATTGTCTTTCCATAGCTGGGTTTTCAGGTTCTTTCGCTACTCGGTACAGAATACAAATGTCTAACCAGTTCAGAGAGTCAGCTGGAAATTTGACTAGATGGCCAATGACAATCACAGTCAGCTTATATTACAAAGGACCCTTCTCCTCTCCCAGAGCAAGTGTGCTCTCTGAATGGTCACTCATTCAGGCTGAGTTATAAGGGCTGTGACAAGCTCAGATCTTTCTCAGCATTGGATGGTGTGTTTTTATCTCTATATTGAGATTATAAGGAGCCTGGGTTCATCTGGTAAGTCAACGTGGCATCTAGACCATATAGATCTGGTCTGGAACATCACCACCCCACTTTCCCTTAGTTGGGTGTTGGAAATACTATCTAACTTAATAACTAGCTGCCAAGGACTGTGATTTCCAGGTTTTAACCTATTCATGCCATAGGACTAGCAGGACAGCTGGTCATCAGTTATTTCAAAGTTCAGTCTGGGGACACTCAATCTCATGATCCTGGTTTTAAACTGGGATTATGTAACTTTACCAAAACCTCTATCATCCATCTTACCCACCCTTTCACTCTGCAGCTTCAGATATTTGCTCAGATAATTCCCTCTTACCAGAAGCAAAGAAAAGTGTTGTCCAAACCCACGGGAGACCAGTCTCAGTCTGATGGAGCACAATCCCCAAGTCTGAGACCAGGAAAAGTAGAAAGATCCCTTGTCAGTCCTGTACTTCCCCAATGGCAGGAAAGTGAGCAGAGACAAGCAATAGGGATCAGGAGAAAAGCCATCTGGGTACTGGAGCCACTCCCCAACTCCCATCCCCACCCTCCTCCCCCTCAACCCCACCCCAACCCCTATATATACACCACACACACACACACACACACACACACACACACACACACAAAAAAAAAAAAAAAAAAAAAAAAAACTCGGCTTACCCAACCCAGGGTGGGGCAATGACAATGCAGTGAGTTCCTGGTAGTTGATACTTAGAGTCAGGAAAAGGACACACTAGCTCTGTCAGGTTCAAGGAAGGATCACATCCTATTCTGTCAACTCATTTTTCTGGGGACAGAAGATACCAGGCCACAGGAACCAGGAGTTGCTCTCAGGACCAGAAAACCCAGGAGAAATAGGATCTGATGCCCAGTTAAATGGGCAAACAGGACAGATGGCAAGTTCCTGAGCTCAGAGTCCAAGGCCCAGGTCAGGCTCAGGAGTGCAGAGACCGCCTCTGGAAGTCCTTCTCTGCACTGACCTAACCTTTCCTGTTCACTGCCTGTAACCAGTAAGTGGGAACAGAAGGGGGAGAGCCCAGCTGAAAGGAGACTCCCCAGCATGTCAGAACACCCGCCCTTATGTCATAAAAGTACAGTCTCAGAGAAGCCCATTGTTTATTCAGAGCACCTGCCCACAACCCACAAAAGAAGGAACATCTGACTGTCTGGGTCAAGCAGGGATGTGGGGAGGAGGAAGAAGAAAGAACCTGTTCCCGAAGATCACTTCCCGGACTTGACGCCAACAGCCTCGCCCTGTGCTTTCCCCTCAAAAATAGATTTCTTTTCAATTTTCATTTTGCACGAATGACTTGGAAAGAGAAGACAAAAACTGAAGGTAACAGGAAACAGAGCCGTGCCCAGTCACTTCTTAAGACAAACATATCTTTGAAGACAAATTGGTATATTGCTCTAACTGCATTTTTTTTTAAAAAGAAGAAACACTAAAAAAGAGGGGGCTGATAGATGGAGCATACACAAGACTGATGGATGATTGACACGCAGGTAAACAGACAGGTTTTTGCTGTTGTTTTCAGTAATGAAGATTGAGCTGGGGCCTCCCACATGCCAGGGATATCTTTACCGCTATGATATATTGCTTGCCCAAAGCTATGATTTAACTGAAAAGCTTCATTATACAAGAATGAGCTAGCCGGGTGGTGGTGGCAGTGTACACTTTTAATTTCAGCACTTGGGAAGCAGAGGCAGAGGCAGGCAGGTCTCTGTGAGTTTGAGGCCACCCTGGTCTATGAGTAAGTTGTAAGTTTATGGCAACCAGGGCTACAAGAGAAACCCTGTAACAGAAGAAGGAGAAGAAAGAAAAAGAAGAAGAAGAGGAGGAGGAGGAGGAGAAGGAGGAGAAGGGAGGGAAGAGGAGGAGGAGGGGAAAGAAGAGGAAGAAGAGAAGGAAGATGAAAAAGAAAGAAGGAAGGGAGGGGGGAAAAAGAAACAGAGAGAGATCAAGAAAGAGAGAGAAAGAAGAAAGAAAGGAACAAAGAAAATAGGCATATGCATATAAGTGTATATATAACTCAACCATGCAATTAAGAATTCCCTACATTCATAAAATGTGCAAAAGCAGTCATTGGGCACCCCAGCACTGACTGGAGCATGACCCTTCCCCAGACCCCATGCCGTTAAAACCGATTCCCTCATCCCCTTGACCCAGGACAGGAATAGTAAATGAAGGAGAAACAAACCCAGAGCAATGCTATAAACACACACACACACACACACACACACACACACACACACAATGTTTTTTAAGTTGATTGAGCAAATAGAAAAGTGAAAACAAAATCTATCGCAGCTTTCTTCTAATTCAGTTTCCATTATTTGAAAGCTGACTCTGTCCCCTAAAATTAGAAACCTGTGAACTGAAACAGGATGAGGGGGCAGAGGAGTTCCTCAAACGCTGTATTTTCTGTGTTTACCCTTGATGGATGCAGACAGGCACACACTTGTCGTTGTCATCGTCACCATCATCATCACCACCACCACCATCATCATCATATCACAGCTTTCACCTACCCCACCCCACCCAACACCCCCCAAAAGAAAATGCTGATTATCAAGCACAAGGCACTCCTGGGATTTAGAATGACAAGAAGAACAGTCGCTGGGAAGTCAACCCCTGGCTGAGGAGATGGCTTTTTCTTTTCTTGTTCTCAACCCTGGGCCCACACACTGCAGGAGCTGCTGCGGCAGGATGCTTCCGAGTTGGTTTTAGAATTTGGTTTGATTGATGTTATTTGCTCTAGCTCGGGCTGTTCTTTTGAATCATGCGCTGTGTTCATATGGTGTGTAGCCCTCATGTATGTGTGTGTGTTGTTACCCACCCAGAAACACAACTTCCTTCAGCATGTGTATACAAGACTCTGTCAGTGAACCCAGGCTCGCACAAGCTCCGTGACATCTCTGCCTTAATTTTACAGGAAGAAGGAACACATAAATGACAGCATGCCCTGCGGTCCCCTGGCCCTGGGGTCCCGGGATTCCCTTACCTTCTTCAGGCTGGAGCTGAGGCAGGGGTAGTGTCCTGGCTCAGGGGGCCCGCAGGCGCTGTCCAGGCCAGGGCGGTCGCTGACTGGGCAGGCATTTGCAGGTGGGCGGAGCGCAGGGCAATGCGCTCAGGGACTGTGATAGGTGCGCAGTGGAGGGAGGAGGCGCACTTGACTCTCAGGGTCCACAGCTCAGATCAGTGCCTGGGCCCCAGGACCACAGACCCGCTAGCTGCTCTGTTGACAAGCAGCCTAACTGTCTGCAAAGGTCCCGCCTCCAGAGTGCGCTGGCCAGAGCATCTTCCCTGACACCAGCAATTGCGCAGATCCTCTGCAGAGACGCTGCTGGCTCTGTGCTCTGGCCTTCCCAGGGGACAGTCTCGAAGTTAACTTTGAAATTACTCCGGTGCAAGCCAAGTTTCGGGGTGCCGAGTTCACAGACACCGAGGTCTCCAAAGACCACGATGCTCCCTCAAAGAGGGAGGGAGAGAGGGAGGTAGGGAGAAAGGGAGGGAGGAAGGGAGGAGGGGCAGGAGAAGGAGGAGGGGGAGGAAGGAGAGGAGGAGGAGAAAGATAGAGGGGAAGAAGGGAGAGGGCGGGAGATGATTCTCACAGGAAACATTCCTGCAAGGTTAAAGAACCTCATGGGGAAATGCGCCTGCGTCCTAAGCCCTGGGGCAGTGATTAAGGCACGATTCATTTTTCCCATTTTGCAGATGCAGAAATTGAGGCACAGGAAAGTTAAGAGGCCGGTGCAGGCCAAGTGGAAACAGAATGCAAATGTATTGAAGGAACAGAGGGAAAGAAGCTAGTTGGGGTGGCAGAAGACACCAGACCCTTCTCTGGGCTGAAACGTGTCCATTTATTTATGTGCTCTTGTAAACAAAACTGCACAGCATTTTTGTCAATTGAACACTGCTCTAAATCAGTGTTTAACCTGAATCACACAGTGAAAATCTTTGGGAAGCTCTGAAGATGCCCAGTGCACAGCTCCCAACCCTAGCAAGTGGGTCTCACTTTTTTTCCCTTAAAATCCTGTGCTTGGTGGTCTCGGACAATGCAAGACCTTGTTTGCCTACAGTTATTATGACATTGTTTTTACAGAAAGACAAACGTGCTCCTGGGCTAGGGACCTGGGCAAAATTTTAGGACAACTGGAGTTCACGGCCAGACTGTCGTGAAATCCTTTCAGACATGAGAGAGGGGACCTGTGGGTTGTGGGGTTTGCAGTCTCTGTGGGAGAGGAAAGGAGTTGAGTGCAGCACCGCCATCATCTCAGTTATTAAACTCCCACGCTATTCTGTGCAGGGCTTCAAGCAGAAGCTCAGCTTCCTGGGGTAACCAGGCCCTGATGCACAAGCAGAACCAGGTTGTACAGAGCCTCCTGGAGCCAGGGGCTGGACCACCCACAGAGGGCAGGACTGTGTTCACTACCCTCCACACCTGACCTCTCCATGCTGTCTCTCCCTGACCTCAGAGCAGCTCCTCTGCTCTCATAGTTTCTCAGCCAAGGTCACCTTGGTTCCGACAGTTCACTGACCTCCAGCAACTGGGAGGTGTGACTAGAGAAAGCAGTGTTTCATTTCTTTGTTTCTGTATTTGCTTAGCTTACAAATGTGTGAGTTCAGTTGTGACATTACATTAGACTTCACTTTGCTGAGATTCTCTCTGGCCTGGGGTGAAAGCACTGGGGATCCCCTCCTAGGGTGTAGCCTAGAATGCAGGGGAGAAATTCTTTGCTGGGAAGAGTTGTGGTTGTGACCTGGATGATGAAGATGCAGGGGAAGCATAAGGGGAGAGCATTCCAGGAAGGAGCTGGCCAAACTCAGTCCTGCAATGGGAAAACACCTGCCTGGGAGTCTGTGTGGGAAATGAGCTAAGAGCAGACATCAGGTGAGGAAGGTTCATGTGTTTACAAGGCTGGTCACAAGAAAGCCCAGTGGGAAATGAGGTAGGCTGGGCCTTGGGCCTTGAAGGTATAAGTTAAAATGGTAGGTGACTCCTTACCAAAGTTCAGACTCTAAAAGTTCTGACACCATTCCAGGCTGTAAGCTGTGCTGTTTGTCATGATGGTTATTCTGTTATCTGTGAGCTATGTAAACTATACCTCTTTCTGTGTGCCCAGGCTACACACAAACAATCTCCAGAGCCTAGTATCAGAGACTGTCAGTCAAAGCATTCACCTTTCGAGTGCCACGGTGACCCTAAAGCAACACACCCTACCTCAGCTGTAGTGATTGTTGTTGGGTCTGACCATTCTTTGTTGTGATAAGGTGTTTAGCAATATCCCTGGTACCCATCCACTCCTGCCAGGACTGTGTACATGAGTGCGTGCGCACACGCGTGCGCACACGCGTGCGCACACACACACACACACACACACACACACACACACACACACACAGCAGTAATATCTCTGGACTGGCAAATTTGCCATGGAAAGAAAAGTTGTCTACAGTTGAGAGCTACTGCTCCGGGAGAAAAGGACCCAGCCTGGCATGTGGCAGAGGAACAAGCAATACATGCTGGACCATGTAACAAAATCATAATTAGTCTTATTAAATAAAAACCCAGAGTCAGATATTAGGCTGTGAAACCTGAAAGATCAGAGAAGCAGAGCAATAGTCACTAGTTCTTGCCTCTACGAAATTCTCAGACCAAATGGGCTGAGTTCCTGTCTCAGAATGAAAGCCATCTCTATGAAACCTCAGACTGAATCCTGAGCTCCTATACCCTCCAGCCCTATATTCCTCTCTCCACCCAGTCGTATTCCTTCCTATCTCCATTTTTCTATGGCTAGGATGAAATGTGTGAGCCATCACTGCCGGGCTCTGTGTCTCTTTTACACGGATTCAATCTCACACAGCCCAGGGTGGCTTTGAACTTACAGAGGTCTGTCTGCCTCTTCTCCTGTGTGCTGGGAGTGAAGGTGTGTGCCACCACTGCTTGGCTTCTATGGTGAACTAGCATGGCTAGCTCTGACTCTGATCTTCAGGTAAACCTTATTTGTTAAAGCACAAACAAAATGTCACCACAGGACTAGTCAATGAGATGAGGAGTGATGTTGTCTTGTGTCTGTGGATGGCAGCTGGGGGAGGAGAAAGGGGTGCCTTCTTCCACTGTGTGGGTAGCCTGACAGGAACAGACCAATGTCTTCTGCCACTGCTGACCTGGCTTGGTCAGGGACACAGAGGAACTGTAGCTCATCTGTCTCTCACTATTTTCAGAGAGCCTCAAGCCATTGCCAGTAAGATATACCCAGCTCCTGAGTCAAGAACCTGGGTAGGGGCAGCCTCTGGCTGAGGGATCCAGAGACTTTCCGTGAGGTTCCATGAGGCCTGGAAGATGGTTCTCCCCGAGAAGCCACTCTCCTAATCACAGTGACTCTGCTGGGAAGGCTTTTCAGACTTACAGCAGTTTTCTGATCCATTAAACACAACTGTCTAGTGGACCACGAGAAGGGTCACTGGGACAGAGAGTTGGAGGATAAATTGGTTGCAGCTCAGAGAGTGAGCATGGGAAGCACAGTGAGGCCACTACCCCAGGGCCCTTGTGATCTGCATTTCTGTTCCACAGGAGATACCCTCTGCCTATGCGTGCCAGGCTGTCCTTTTCTTACCTGGATGGGAGCACTCAGTGAGTGGCAGAATAGAATATGGTTTAATGCTTTTTCCCTGGCCCACATTGGTTGCAACCTGTCCCTATCGCCCGAGGCAAGGCTGGGGCCAGTCATATCATATGTGCTGGCATGTGAGTAGCCCTCGTTCCTGTAAGCAACTGGATCTCAGTGACCAGGTGATGGGGGCCTTTGGAGGCCTTTGTTTACCTCTGAAGTGCAGAACCTACCAGTCCTGCTATCATAAGGAGAGGATGGGGCTCTGGATGTGGAGTGCCCAGCCAGAGTTCATGTCTTAAAGACTTGTTGATGAAGCAATTGAATCCCGTGGACTCTGACTTCATAAGTGGTCCCTTGGTGGATTTGTACTTGATGGCGCTGATGGGAGATGAAACACGGTTGAAGGAAATGGATGACTGGTGGTGTGTCCTGGAAAGTGTCTGTGTGTGTGTGTGTGTGTGTGTGTGTGTGTGTGTGTGTGTGTGTGTGTGTGAATGTGTGTGTGTATGTGTGTGTGTGTGTGTGTAGCAGTTAAGGGAGAGTCCTAATAGGCAGCATATAGGAAGGGGGGTCTCTGATAGATAATAAAATTGACACATGCAGCTTCTTCCTTCCCCCTCTTACCCAAAATTGTAACTTGAAGTCTAATTGGTCTTAATGATAAAACCCAGAGTCAGATATTAGAGAGTGAAAGCTGAGAGATCAGAGAAGTAGTGTGGGCCACCACTAGAGAGAGCTTTTACCTCTACCAACTCTCAGACCGAAGGGTGATCCTGTCCTCAACTGCACTGAGCTTGGCTCCTCCTGCCTTATATTCCTCTCTCTGCCCAGCCATATCACTCCTGTCTCCTCCTCCCTAGTGCTAGGAAGAAAGGTGTGGGATCCCAAGTGCTGGGATCCTCTTTGTGTGAGCTCTGTTACTCTTTTATGCAGACTAAATTCCATGTAGCCAGGTAGCCTTGAACTAACAGAGATCCTTCTGCTCTGTCTCCTGAGTCCTGGGCTTAAAGGTGTGTGCCAACACTCCCAGGTCTCCAATGGTTTAGCTCTGCACTCTGATCTTCAGGAAAACTTTATCTGTGAAAACACAAACAAAATATCAGTACATTTTTCCTTTTTTTTGTCTAAAATAAAGAAAGAAGGGTACAACTAATATAAGAAGAACTATATTCAATATATACAGGCAATATGTACATCAGCAATGTATAGTCCATTTGTGTTTGATAATTTCAGAGAAATTCTCTGATGTGTAATTCCCCTCTGTATGCTGTGAATACCATTGGTTAATAAAGAAGCTGCTTTGGGCCTATTACAGCACAGAATAGGGCAAGGTGGGAATTCCAAGCAGATAGAGGAGGCAGAGTCAAAGAGACACCATGTAGCCACTGCAGGAGACAGACACTCCAGAACCTTAATGGTAAACCACGAGCCTTGTGGTAAAATATAAAATAATAGAAATGGGTTAATTTAAGATGTAAGAGCTAGCCAGCAATACTCTTAAGTGATTGGCCAAGCACAGGCAGGAGAGCATGGTGAATTCCCATAACCATACAAAGAGGTATTTCCAGGTTATGCAGAGCATTGCATGACAGATTTAACTTTTACTCAGATAAAAAGGGTTTATATGCTGCATGGTGCTTCCCAGAGTGGAGGTGGTGAGGACGGTTCCCACCTGTAGTCTCAGAGGCAGTGAACATGCCTTCGCCATGTTGGACTGGGCAGAGCAAGTAGGCAGGGCCTAGTTGGTCTAGTCACACCTGCTTATCATTTAACAAAAATGGTGCTCCTGATCAGAAAAACAATTACAGATACCTATGCAATAAAAACAAATTCAGATATAAAAGACCTCTAAATGGGTCACAGTTTT